TTCAAGTTCCTACCATGGCTGCCGCTTCTGTTTTCGCGGCTTTCTGCCCTGAGGCAGAGTCGTGGGATGCGTTCCTTGAATGCTTCGAGTATTTCCTCCAGGCTCACGACCTGACTGAACTGTCTGTGGAACGGAAGAGAGGGGTTTTTCTGAACTACTGCGGCCCCAAAATGTTCGCCACTGCGTGAGCTTTGTCTGCCCCTACTCCAGTACACACAATGCCGTGGGAGCTGCTCTTGGCTCAGTCGTCTGTCCTTTAGTACTTAAAAATGATGACTTCTGCATCTTTTAAGTTAGTACAGGATAATTCTGTGGCTCTTAGAGCTATTCATTTAATTAACCTATAACCAAACTACAGGAACAAGTTCAGGGGTCAGCAACCTGTGGCTCTGGAGCTGCATGTGGCTCTTTTGTCCCTCTGCTGCCGCTCCCTGTTGCTCAAAATATGCATCGCACCCACCAATTGTGCTGGCACACAATTTATTGAGCTTTTTGACCCCCAGCAGGATAAATCCAAGAAAAGAATAGTTTCAGAAGAAAACAGAATGTTTAATTTAACTACATATGGTAGTTTTGTGGCCGCTCAGGAAATAGTCAGGCGCCAAAAGGGTTTTGTGGCTCCCGGTGTTTTCTTTTCTGTGGGAAATGAGTCCAAATGGCTCTTTGAGTGTTTAAGGTTGCTGACCCCTGAACAAGTTGTAAAAGTTACCATTTTAAAAAGTCATTTATTTGCATTCAAGAAATATAGATCAGATTTGCATTTGGGTAGACCATTGAGGAATTCTAAGGGTATATACATCCCATAGTCTGGAAAATATTAAATATTCTGCAAAAAACCACCCACTTATATACATTGTTACTACAAATCTTCTGCATGGGTATTGAAGTGGACTAGAACAAATCTTTACACATTTTTAGCCGTTATGAGGAGTGACTAGATTGGTGACCTTTTCATTGACAAGTTTACACTGTTAACCAAGTATTTGATTTGCTCTGCGTAGCTGATGTACAATTGAAATACAATGGTGGTTAAAAGTTTGTGAAACTTTTTGAACCTAATTAAATAATGAGTCAAAAACATACTGATTCATTTATTTAGTGAAAAAAATGATTCTTAATAAATCTATGAGGTTGTTTTCTAACAGAAGCTACATATAAATGTGAGTGTAAGAAAAAAAAATCACTGAAGCTATTGAAATGCAGGTTGATTCCCTTTTCTCATAAGTTACTGAATATGTTATTTTTTAGTATTAATGGTGTCTTCATTGAAACACTATTTAGATTGTAATGGAACACTGCTGAACTAAGCCAAGGTATTTGACAGTTTGTGACTTTTTGGCTTGATCCTGAATGAATAGTCAGAGGTCTATAGAATTGAATAACTTTTGAAGAAAATCTATTTTTGGGAGAGCTGATTAGTATGCAGTTGATTGCTTGTTCTTGCTGCTGGGTATGCTGTATAGATGTTTTATGAAGGTGGAAATGGGTATTACTACAGCGTTCTGGATTCTTTCCATTTTCCGTGAGATAAAGATTCTTTATCCTGAATTTTATTTTGACTTGAAATTTGTTTTGGTCTACAAAACTGAGGTCTGTAGAACTGCTGATCTACATACTTTAGAACAAGGGTGTCAAAACTCAAGGCCGGGGGGCCGGATCTAGCCCATGGGGTGCTTAGATCTGGCTCGCAGGGCCCGCCTGGATACAGCGAAGGAGTGGCTCACGGTGCCTCTACCAGCTGACAGAGGGTTGCAGGAGGCCAGCACAGCCAAAAATGAAGCTTGTGATGCCTGTGGGTAGCCCTCCTGAGCTCCGTTTTCACTGGAGAGGGTTGCAGGAGGCCAGCACAGCCAAAAATGAAGCTTGTGATGCCTGTGGGTAG